AACTTTTTTTTTCTTTGGTCACGACTTTTTGGTCACGCCGGACACTAATCTACACCCACACCCACACCATTTTTAAAAACTGAAACCTTAATCGAAAGGTTTCTTATTTCCACAGCTCTCGATTGTTGCTTGTCGTAGAGTTTTGTTCTTTGTGAAGTTCTAAGAGATTGGCAAACTTGATATACACTTGTCAGTTCATTTAATACAGAGAATAGCTGAACATAGTACTTTTATTAATTAATTCTGGTTAAGAATTACATTTTTAATAAAAAAGAAAAAAGATTAGAGCAAAGGAGTTCTTGCCATTTTCTTCACTTTTTTCTTTTCTAACTGCTTTCACAAAACGTCAGTTGTGCTGGATAGTGTTGCTGTACTTGTGTACAACCACTACCACCAAGTACTGGCCCAGATTGAAATGTACCAGGTATATTACAGCTACTAACTGGCATGCCCCAATTTTCATCTGTATTCGATGTCCATACACAACAATTATCACTTACTTTTGATTTATATGTTTTACCTTTAAATTTAGATGCAACTGTTTTTAGAACAGCTTCCGATGCTCTCTTATAACCACGTGCACAATGTCCACCACTACCATCGAGATAATAACAATGATTTGAGTGTGAAACTTCATATTTTGCACAAGTCTTGTTATCTTTGTAAAGAGAGAGAACAGCAGTTTTAATTAGAGAGTCAGTCTTTGCAATGCTCGGCTTACCTTCACTGTTGACATTCAATGGCGATGCATTTGATAGAACACACCAAAGTGTAATGGCCAGTAAACAAACAGCGTATGTACCTGTTCGGATATGACTTCAGCAGTTCTCAGCTGTCCTTCTTTTTTTTTCATTTTGAAAATTCTTAAAATGTTTTTATGAAGGTGTTGAGTTTGAAAAGTTTTTTAAAAACTTTCAGAAAACTTTTCCATAGTGTGAAAACGTACGAAAAAGTACAAAAAGTAGTCTACTTTTTGTAGTTTTAGGAACTTTTTTGTACTTTTGAAAGCACGAAAATGTACTTGTTTTTCTTCGCTGCATTTTTTCTTACGTTTTCTTACTTCGAAAAGTACGAAGAAGTGTACTCTTTTTGAAGATATCTACATTTTTTAGTGATTTGCGGCATTTTCCTCCCCTTCATCAACAATCATCATCGTCAGAGATGTTGGTGGTTGATTTTTTTTGACCTGACCCGCTGGACAGGTTGAATGCTTTTTTTTGACCGACGGGTTAATTCAAACTTTACTAGTATAGCATTTACTTGAAAATTCATCAGTTCTTTTTATTGACGTATTTGGATTTTCATGTATTAGGGAAATGGAGGTTTTTATAGCCAGAATATTATCTTTTATTTTTCATCATATGTATAAATACTACAAGATTTTGAACTGAAATTCAAGCAAAAAAATGGTAAAATAAAAGTTGTAGTACATGATCGTTGGTAAAATATTAATATAACAGATACTGTTTGAGGATATTGTTGATGTGATTCTTGCTCTCACCAGGATCTTGTAATCAAAGCTGAAGAGAAAAGTGTATGTGTAGAGAATAATGCAGAGTTTGTGTAGTAGTTTTGAATTTGATATATTACTGTGATAAAGTATCGTAGGGTTCATTGTTTTTTCGTTTGATTAGATATAGTGAACTGCCTAATGTGAAAAATCATGCAAGAACTTGACTGAACTTTTCTGTCAAAGATTAGAAATATTTTAAAAGGGTATGGGTGTGGGATGTGGGTGTGGGGGTGTGGGCGTGTGGGTGTGGGTGTGGGTGTGGGTGTGGGTGTGGGTGTAGGTGTGGGTGTGGGTGTGGGTCTTAGTATTATCATTCACACCCACACCTCATCTACACCCCACCCACACCCCACACCGCCACCCACACTCCACACACCCACACTCACACCCATACCCACACCCACACCCCACACTCACACCCCACACCCACACCCCACACCCCACACCCCACATACCCACACCCACACCCCACACACCCACACCCACACACTCCACCCTACGTAGAAAGTAAAAATGAGAGATGAAAAGAATGAGATACAACATTTGCAAATGGGTTGAACTGGGTTGAGCCTGCGAGTGCACGGAAAAACATAGCCCGGTCCATGAACCTCATAAAATGCAAAAATGCCTAGCCCGTATACCCGTGACCAGTCAGAGGTTCAACCCGCCAACATCTCTGGTCAGCGTTGACAGACTCCTATCCACTCATAACGCCAACATAATATTGATTTTGGCTATAAGATCTAGTACAAAATAATAGCGGAGTGATTGCACTTTTCTGAATGGACAGCAGTCGTAATATCCGATTTTTTGTTCTAAATACTCAATTTCTGAAAACAAAGTCGTTCCAGCAAGGTATCAAGCGTTTCTAGAATCAAAGATAACGCGGATTTGCGAAAGTACAGCGAAAATACTTGAAACTCATTTTCGTTACTAAAGGAATTTTAGAATCTCAAGTTTTAATGTTGACTTAGAGAGACTCGCTTTAGAATAAAAGGCGAGAATCGTATTCCCTACAATGGAAAATTTCGTCAAAGTGAGAATAAACGCGAGTATTGTCACCCGAAATATTCAAAAAAAGATCCTTTCCCTTACATTATCTTATGTGAAGGAGTGAAAATATTTGCATTTTGGATTAGAAAAGCGGTAAATTACGTTGTTCCTTCGAAAAAAGAGTATTTTTGCGTTCATTTTTAAACAAAATGATGCGAATTCATGGTCTCCGTTACAATGATACTACAAAGGAATGTTTGTACACGGTCGGATTGGACATCCTGTTTAATTGATGACAGTTCAATTTTGTGCGCAAGTATGCGACACATCGCTAACCTCAGTCCCTTTTTTTTCGTGAAATGCTATAGTCAATGCGTACAGAAATCTGAACAGCACTGCGAGCATTGCCATATGAAAACAGAGTAAAATTACTATCAGTAGGCCAAAGGTGTAAATTCACATCAATATCTTTTAGTCAAGACTGTGATATTATCAACTCCAGGGTAGGAATTCTAATCAAGTGCTGATGTCAGCATATGATAGATGCTCCTCTCTTCTCATCAGCTATCGAGACTTTCCACTCTTCCTAACAGTGCTATTCTTAGAACCAGTTCCGAAATGTTTTTCAAGATTAAGCTTCAATTTTATTTTTATGTTTCTAACAAGTAGCAAAGTTTTTCTCAAACAAAGATGAGTACAACAATAGAACTAAGCAATTCACACTAAAAATAGTAGAACAATGATAAAAACATTGTACAGATAAGAGGATATTTCAACTGCTATCGAATAATATATTTGTATATTATGATTTGCACACCAGAAAAACTGTTCAAGTTTCCAAAAAACGGTGTGGGATGTGGGATGTCGGTTTGTGTAGGTGTGGGTGTACCTCTTCTATAAATCCATACCAATACCCACACCCACATCCACACACACCCACACCCATATCCATCCACACCCGAACACCCACGCCATACATGTCCTCAAAATTTCAACGGAAATTGGACAATGAAATACTCAGCAAAAAGTTATTGCCGTAATTCCGTAAGAATTTCGACAGCTGTAGAATTTTGACAATGTTGTCGAAATTACAGTAGAATTTCAACATGTTTCGAAATTCTACTACAATTTGGACATTGTCGAAAGTCCGCTAACGAAATTCTTTTTGTCGAAATTCCATAGAACCTTTTCAAATTTTCTTAACTGAATCCTCAGTCCACTGTATTACTTGGAGGAAAGCTTTGTCTGAAAATCACGATTTTCATGACAAAAAACGATATTTAAGAACATTCTAGTGATTGATAAGAAGGGTGTGTAATGCTCAAATTTTTGGAGAAGATATCTCTCTCGAAACGCTAACTTCAGTGAAAATTTCAGAATTCTATCTTGTTCCAATCATGAGTTATAAGGGACGGAAGTTTTCTAAAATGTGAATTTTGCAATATTCGATGAGTCATAAAAAATGAAGAGCTTATAGTTGTGAATTGAAAAATCTATTCTGAGTACAACTCATTGAATTATATGTCTGCAAAAAATTTCAACTCAATATATCAGACCATTCGTGAGATATTGAGTCCACAAGTCACCTATTTTTGGATATGTATTTTTGCAGATCCCTCAAAAAAAAAATTATAAAATATTGACGGTTCTATATTTTTCAAAACGGTTGCGCCAAAATTCCTAAAACTCTTTCCTCTGCAATATATTCTGAATCGAGCAATGTCTCGCAACCTCGGCTAAGAAGATTCGCTTGTGGGTTATGTAAAATGACTGTTGTGGGAAACACTGATTGTACTAGATACATTCTAAAGTAACCACTAATCTCTCCATAAGGATGACTTTTAAAAATTTGGATTAGCCTATCGAATGCATTTTTCAACGCTAAAAAATAAATCCTAATTTAAGTCCTATTTGAAAGAAAGTTTAGAGTTGTGATGTGCATATAAAATCTAGAAAAATAATGAAAAATACGATGATTAATGCGGTAGTAGAATATCTTGTGTGGCTTAGATGGAAGTCTCGTGCTACTTTGATTTCACTCATTTTATACTCATAAAATAGCTCATTCTTTGCTCTATCAAAATCCGTAAAGAAATCTCTGGGCCTGTCGAAATTGGCAGAGAAATACAGCTTACAATGAGAAAGAGGAATAAGACAAAAATGCGAAAAAAGTAGTAGGGTCGATCTAATTTTGAGGGTGTTGTATCTACAAAATGGAAAGCAAGGAGAAGGTGATATGTACAGTTTTGTAGGGCGAACTTTGCTGTATCAAATGGTATATTATTCGAAAAGATTGTGATAATTTATTGTGGAGACAATAACCAAATACTGACTTACCAAATTTTGCAAGAAAAATAAAAATATTTTTCAAAACCTATTGAGGGTATCTTCAGTGTGTTTCATAGCTTTTTAGAGGTAAGCTAGAATGAGCTAAAATTTTGAATTTATAAGTTTCTCACTTTGCTCTTTCATTTCAAATGATAAAATATAGGGGTCAAAATTTTCGAGAGTATGATCCTATTGAAGAACGCTCGATTTTCTCGTGGGCCGTCTCTTAAGTATATCTAAGGGAAAAACGAGCGATGTCATCTACTTCAAAAAATTGCAAGTACGACTAAAGTACCCGTGAAATACAAATGAAGTAGCGTGAAGCACACACTCCTGAAGTCTCGCTTTTTCTTCGTTGAGTATGTCACAATTCGATTTTTATACATTGGCATTAACAAATTGAAGAATATTTGTCAAAGAGAACATGACGACGATTAACATCGGTAGTCGTTCAACAAAACGTTTCAATAAAGGGTAACAACCATACTATTGTTTTTATGGGTTAACGACAACTACAGATAATAATTGTATAAGTCTTTCTCCTTTTATAATCATTTGATAAGTCATTTCCTTTCTAGTTACCATCGAATGTTGTTGTTGCTGTTGTTATTGTCGTCATCGCCAAGCAAATCGTGCAAAAGTATACCGATCATGTATAATCAAAAAAAAAGTTAACAGCGATTGCTAATATTCTATGAAAAATAATTTTGTTGTTTTCTTTTATTTGTAAATAAATTCATTCTTTGAAAGAAATACATAATGAAAACATATTCTTAATTATATGAACTTTAAACTACGATTTAAATCAAAATCTCAGCAAATTGTTTTATTCCTCTACATTTTTATCTCAATTGCATACTTTCATTTTCCAGACAGACAAACAATGTTAACATTATTCATTTTTCTACTAGTGTTGGTGTGGATGTGAGTGGGAATCTTCTCTTGATCCATACTCATACCCATACTCACACCTACACCCATGAAAACAATACATGTAGAACATGATTAAAAAATCAACTTTGAAATAAAGGAGAAAATGTCGTTAAACGATGATTATAATAGTTTTTTTTATCATTACAGTGAATCGATTCGTTCAATAACTTCATTGAAATCATTTTATTTATCATATCAATTAAAATACACGAACAATTTAATTAACTACGTTGATTTCTTCTATTTCGTAATTATAAGAGATTTATATTTGTCAAGTGATCTTATTTGACAAGACAAATAATTGTTCTATTGAGTAAGTTATCGAAAGAGAAAAGATGTTTGATATTTATTTCTGTATTTCTAGGGAAAAATACATGGTATAGGAGAAACTACGAATATCAGTAGCAGTCAATATGATAAAGTTATTGACTAAACAGTACGCTGAATTTGTTGAATGGCTGTAGTTTTCTTGGCACCGATAAGTTTGGCTAGTTTGAATGGTAATTTTACAATAATTACCTGTAAAGTAAAACAAAATGTAACATAAAGAGGAACAAATAATATAAAATAGTTACCCCGAAAACAAAAGCAATTATGTATACAATAGTACACATGAAAGAGCCCATGTGCTTAATAATTGCACGACCGTGGTTTTTTTGATTAGCAACTGAATATTTAGTAATAGAATTTTGTACATGTCTATCGGTGAAATCAGTACAAATGAGAAATAAAATAGCAATACCAATACCAACTAATTCAATAATAGATATCCAAGCAACCTAAAATTGAAAAAGTCGTTTTTATTCAATTTTCGCCCTATATAGAGTATTTTGAAAGTCATTAATCGAAAACAAAGTTCAATATATCGATCATATGAGCTAATTTTTTTTATGATAAAGAAGAATTCTAATTTTTTTTTCTATAAATCAACAAGTTCAGTAGAAACACTAAAAAATATTATTATCTAATTAATAAGAGAAAAAATTGCAATTTCTGCCTAAGATACACGCATGAGTATCTAAAACACTCTTTGTATCTTCCATGTTATAGAGCTATTTACGCTGATCACTTTTGTGAAAAAAATATTTATTTTTTGATCAACAAATATCGATTTTAGAGTCAAATTATTGCAAAATAACCCATGGCTCCGCCTATGTAAAAATTTTTTGTTCATATTTTTTTCTTTACATCAACAGAACTTGACAACGATTTAACCCTAGAAACCCTAATTATTAATGACAATAAAAGTATTTATTTATGAAAATGATCAACGAAACAAGCTCTATAAAATGAAATATTTAAACGAAATGTTCGATAGGTTTATGTTTTTATCGTTGACTGTTAATGGGAATAACTGAAAGAAACGACAAACTACTATATTGAAGTAGATTATATTAGAATTCAAGCGTGTCAAAAAGCTCCTAATTTATAAATAAAAATTAATGACCTTCAGGACACTCATCTTCATATACATTTCTATATTTGAAATTTTTTAGGAAGCATAAATATGTATTTCATAAAATATGGAACAATCTCTAGCAGTGGTAACGCGATTATTCGGACTTTGCGGAGGTTTAAGAATTTTTTTTTTCAAGCTATTATGATTAACAAAATAAAAAATCCGTATCCTCCCTCCCGTCGTACCATCACTGGTCTCTAGAAAGATAAAAAAATTGCGATAATAGAAATTTCTTAATCATCTGATTGTTGATATAATGAAGTGTTATTCATTTCTTTATAAAATTTCTGAATAAAATTATTAATTTTGTGAATAATGATTTTTATTCCGATAAAAAGCATTTGAAATCAATCATTAAATTGTTTTATTTAATTTTGAAACTACGATGGACACAAAAAGAAATGTTGTTGGAAGTACCCGAGAAAAAAAGAGACAAGACATAAAACTTACCACTAGTAAACCTGTTACAGAATATCGAAATGTGACAAATAATCCGATGGCACAGGAAAGAATTGCAATAATATATTCACCAATTTCTTGATAATATCCATTTGGTATTAAACAATACTCGATAGTTCTTGAAAATATCGCATCAATCAAACCAAACATACAAACAACCTAAAACATTAAAATATAATACGAATATTATTCGATGAAGATTCTTAGATACTTCAATATGTATGTGTGACTATTTAAAGTAACATAAACTTGAACTTATTATAAAAATTTTCGCATCTGATTGATTCATTTTGATGTTATTTATTCTCTTACTCATATCCAATGATGATCAAATATAAAAAAAAAAAATAAAAACTTACAAGACCGATGCCATATATGACAACAAGAATTTTTCTTATTTGTCGTATTTTCGGATCTGTAGCCAATAATAATTGTTTCGAAACAGACACGGTAGGCGCAGTCGGTGTAGTCACTCTGTCGGTAGTTTGTTCGGGTTGCATTTCAATTATAGGAAATTTAATCTTTTAAATAGAATAACAAAATAAAATCAGTATTAATTAAGTCACAAATATAAATTAACTTATTAGAATAGTTCGTAATTTTTTCTGCCTTTTGACTCGTTCTCAACAGACAAACATGTTCAAAATTGAGCTTTTAAGTCTCTGTGAAAATTCTATTTTTATCCTAGAACAACTGACCTGACGACTTAAATTCTCAGGAAAACTCATAATGAAAATCAAAATGATAACAAAAAAATAACAAATAACATTTTTTTCCGAAAAATCTTAGTTATGCTTTGTTACTATGTAAAAGTATACCAGTTCTATTTGCTCATTATTGTCCGATTTCTCGATGATGTTACTGACCACAATCTCCATTAGATAGCCTATGAAACTGAGAAAAATCCTAAAAAGATCTTTTCAAGTATCTTGCTGATCTACAGGCAAAATTTACTAATCGGTTTACGAGGAACGATTCCTCAATGTTCGATTGCGTTTGACTTGATGTTTTGGTCAAATAGAAGTCTTTGCGAAATGAGATTCTAGGCGCCTTTTTTCGAGTTATGATCTGTATAATCTTTCTAGACATTTTCTCATCTCCCAAAGGCTTATATTTGACCAAGGCGTCAAGTCAAAGACAATTGAGCATTGAGAAATCATTCCTCGTAAAGCGATCAGTAAATTTTGCCTGTAGATGAGCACGATACTTGAAAAGCAGGGTTGCCAAATCTCCTGATTTAGTCAGGAGACTCCTGGTTTTTAGACTTTTCTCCTGGCAAAAAATCTCCTGCGTCCAGGAGCTGGTTTTTATGATTTTCTCCTGTTTTCTCCTGGTTTTTTAAAGGATTTTGTCACGGTTAATTGTAGTGATATTTTGAATCAATAAGACAAAGAAAAAGAGAATTATCACACTATTTCATAGATGCAATCGACAATGAGAAAACACGTCGTTTCTGCCTGTTACGCTTGATAACATGCATTTATTTGTGCGCTTATCTTCTTGACGGTTAAAATGTGCCTCATTTACAAAAACTAGTTTAGTTCGCTTTTTCTATATCAACCTAGAATGCTATTTGTGAATTGACCTTCAGCTACATGAAATTTTTGTGGGCTGATCATAGAAACGATTTGAAGTGCGATCTTATTGGCCCATAATTAGGAACTAAAATGAATAATCATCTTAGTTGTACAGAGTTCTATAATTATCCTTTAAATGATTCAGACCTATTGAAACAGATTCAGTTTTTAGAAAAATATGACCATGTTCATAGGTGGCGAAATGTTTTGGATCTAGGGTAGGCTCAACAATTTTTTACAAGATTCGCATCAGAAAATTAAAAATATGGAGTAAGCCAATTTTTTTGATGCCATCTTGATGAAACAAAGTTAGTGTTTCTCATTTCGAACTCGTATTTTGTAATGTATGACACTGATAGAGATAAGAAAAGCATTTACAACTTATGTGTCAAAAAACGTGGATTTAAGAAAACATGTCGATAATTATCTTCATTCACTTTCAACTCTTGCAAGAATTGTTTTCCATCTGCTTTGCTAATAAACAAAATAATGTCCAAGCAGCAGTGTTCACAAAAACGACATTGCATTATCAATGTTTTTACTGTGTTGAAAAGATTTTTTTCTACGAGAATATTTTTCTATACTCGTCGTTTTCTCGCTCCATTTCTTATGGCAATGGGAACTTCATTAAGTATTGGCGTTACCGCATTTTGTCTCGTATTTGAATACATATTCAGATACATGTATGTAACAGCTTTTTATTTTTACCTAACTACCCTACTGTAGCTCCAATCATAATTATATTTTTAATTTGAAGTCGTGTCACGGCTATCTTAAAATCTAAAAATAAAATAGAAATATGAATTCTTGAAGTCTTACGATTAGAAGTGTAAATCGACGAGCTGAGTCATCGCTGTCGATAGAACAAAAAAATTAACACTTTTGAAGATTTTTCGACGCCTGAGATCACGTTTCAACGATGTTTCTGTATAGTTTTTTTATCAGTGTGTTCTCTACCATTGTTTTCTCTTTTTCCATCCGATAATATGTCGGAAATAAGAAAACATTAAAGAAATCGTCCAACAAATTCACTCGCCTCTGCCGACAGACAAAAAAAGTTGAGTATATTTTCAGTCGCTACCGAAAGAAAAAGAAATAAAATCAGACTTACAAATCGCTGATCTATGGACTGGTTTACCCTTCTTCTTACGGAAGTGGAAATAAATTTTTTTCCGAGAACGAGAATGTAAGAACAAGGATAACAATTCTTTTCCAGGAACGAGTGTAAGAATAGGAATAACAATTTTTTTCCGAGAAAGAGAATATACGGGCGAGAATAACAAGTTTTTTCTGAGAACAGAAACAATAATCGGGAAAAGTTGCTCCCATAACACTAATGACTGGATATGTAAATTTAGTCGCTAACAATGATGAAAGTCTTTGGCAGCTACTAGCTGATGTGATTCAGGTTATTTATGCTGTATCTCGTCACTTTTAACGAAAGAAGCTGTTAAGTGACATCATCATATATGTATCATCTCTGCCGTTCTTTGTTACGACGTCATATTTGTTTCACCTATATCTTCTTTTGTTCTATACATATATGTATGTGTATTTGTCTTCTTCTTTCTTCTGGTGACCTCTTCACCTTCCACAGAATTCTTCACCTTTCTTTGTTCTCACATATATATATACTTGCTGCTTTAAACAATAAATCATTCTATTCCATCCTCGCTCATAAGTGTGTAACATAATCTTCTCTGATTAGCAATTTGGTCAAGTGATCAGCTACCTTCTCACAAAGCCCACTTTAAATCATTGGTGATCCAAGATTGGACATTTAGCCACACAAAACTAAAAATTTTCTCAAAAGTAGTTTCTAGATCTGTTTCAATAAATCTTGCGATTTGTTGCCGATAGCGGCAGAAAATCTTGACGTCTGTACAAAAATTCTTATGTACTGCACAAACCTATCAATTTGACATAGTAGAAAACAATTATTTGAGCGTACCATAGTCTATGGAATCTGAACCTAAGATGGGCTTTAGTCTACTGAAGCTGTGTGATTCCATCGTCCATGAATAGACCCAATATAAGCCTTCATTTATTCCATCCACGTACCTACCTAAGCCTTAAGCTGTTCAACTTAGAATAGGCTCGAGCATACTCAGGCCTTGTGATCCCTCCGTTTATGGTCATATTACAAAAGTGGCATGAACGGTATAGTTGATAAATTATTGTTCATGTATGCTCATTTTGTTTAGTTACATATTGATGTCTAATTAAACTTCATTTTCTACTTTGTCGGTATATTTGAGGTGCGAAGCACCTATATAGAACTGCGGCACGAGTTTTCTTTCTTGCTTGCTTTATTAACAAAGTTCGCTTTTGAGATAATTAAAACGAAAATTCAAAAGCAAAGTTAGGCGCCAATTTGCTTAGTCATATATCAACCAGCTGTCAATTACAGCTGATGATAGATAATGAATCACTGAGATAATGAATTCAGCAATCGAAATCTTTTTTTAGGAGGGTTTCCAACAAAATCTCATAGAGTTATCGCGGTGATGAGCTTTATTAGGGTACTTTTGAATTTTCTGAATTATTTCAGGTAGTCAGATAGCAGTATAGGTAGAAGCAATGATTACTAAAAACTTAATTATCGAATTCTCGTTTTTTGAGAAATATCGTTTTTTTTGAATACTCGAAAGATTCGTGCTTCGCAGGGCATTTCGTATTCGAAGCGAAGCTCGAATACCATCTAGTTTCTAGCTAGACCATACGCAAATTTTTTCACATTTTGTGTCGCAATGATCTCCACAACCGATAGTCAGAAAATCCTCGTTCCAGCATCAGATGAAAGCGTCGAGGTTGAACTGAAACCACCTTTTTTTCGATTTTCGTTATGATGCTCCATTCGCATACAAACAGGGTCGAAAAAAGACAAATTTTTCAGGACTTTGATTTTTTTCAAACTTCGAAATAATTAAATCATAAAAAGTTAGGCGCCATTTACTTCGCTGATGTATAAAACGGCTGTAATTACAGCTGATGATAGATAATCAGTCATATCGATAACTAAACGATCAATAGACAGTGCCCCTTAGAAAAATGTTGATATGCATTGATAGAGTTCTTCTAATGATGGATTTTGCAATGGTCATTTATCGACTAATTTCGCTTCAATCAGCTGATCGATCGAAAGATAATTTTCCTGATTTACAGCAATAATACAGCAATAAAAATGGTTTTGATAAAGTGTAAACATGTTTGGAGAATCTCATTTCGTACTTAATCTTAACAGAGAGAATATAGTGAAAAACATTTTATGATAAATAGTGGAGAAGATCTTTCGTTTGTTTTTAAGTTTCGATTTGTTTGAAATAATCGATATTTGTGCTTCGCACCTTATTTCGCATTCTCGACGAAGTCGAGATGCCATCTAGTTTGATGAACCACTGTGAAATGAGTAGTAAAATAAATTCCACATAATCTTTTTTTAAAATATATATCACTTAGTGGAAAATTTGTCGTCAGTACCTTAGTAGAAGAACATAACAAGTGATTAGATGAACGAAAATTTCAGTTTTCTTTGAGAGAAGACCACTAATTCATTTTCTGATTTCAATAAACATCTCCTGATTTTTCAGTAAAAATCTTCTGATAAACTCCTTATTTTTCGCAAAAAACTCCTGGTTTTTGAAATATGGATTTGGCAGCCCTGCCGACTATGGAAGAGAAGAAAACATACACGCTAGTTCTACAAGGTAAGCATTAGAAGATAGTGTTTTCATTTGTCAATATTTTCTTTTTCAAAGGATCTATTGATCTGGTCGATGCCGTTTTTCCCGTTGGAACCTATGGTCGACAGCTTGATATTCTAGCTCGACAATCTCTTTATAAGAACTTTATGAATTATGCTCATAGTACTGGACATGGTATTGGTCATTTTCTTTCAATTCACGAAGGTCTCTCGTTTATTG